GCATTGAAGTCATGCCCATGGCCCACATTGGCAGTGGCTGGCATGTAGGAGACTGGCTGGTGCTGGTGTTGGTGTTGGTGCTGGTGCCAGTGCTGGTGGTGGAAGTACTGGCATGGGAAATTGAATCATCCTTTTCAACATCCCCTCACCTCTGCACTTCGGCCTCCCTGACTTTGTTCACCCGCACCTGTGTCTAGTGATCAAGGGTTTTGGGGCTGCCAGTGAACATGCTCCTGTTCACCCTCAAGTCACACATGCCTGTCATCATGTGGACTGTACTAGACCGCAAGGGATCCAGTTATCTCCTGATGCTCTCCTTCAGCTGCCTCACCAGTGCCTCCACATCTGGTGACGGTGACAACAGCCTGCCCCAGCCAGGAACAATGATCCCCTGGAACTTCTCCATTTGGGTCTCCAGTTCCCTCACTAGGGGGATCACCTGACCTGCTCTGGACACCATTACTGGGATCCCACTTTGATCTGGAAGTGCCGTTTCGGATGCCGAAGCATCTGAAGCGGGTCCAGATCCAAAACAGGATCCAAAGACTCACACAGCCCTAATGGTCATGTACTGGCCAGTGCCTAGCAAGATTTATGTGCAGTAAGTATCTCAGCCAAGCCCTGGGCATTGTGCTGATGGGAGAATTTGGTAACCTGAATAAGTTGGGAATTATTGGCATCATGTAGACTGAGGTGGTTTCAATAATTGTCCTCAGATTCCTTGGCCAGATTCTCAATCTAGCAGACTGATGAGGACAAAAGTCCTAGACCACAAATAACTTCCAATTCATTTACTGTATTGGACTTCAAAGTTGCAGAACTGATCAAGAAGAAGGGAAAGTACAACCATCCTTTCTTCTGCCACCTTTGCAGCATTTTATGACTTAGGAGTTCATTTAGGGACATCTCCTTGTCTTCTGGACAATACTGCAGGTCCTGACCAATGTTGTACAGGAGCCCCACAGAAGGCAGTGGGTGAACTACTCCATGTACCCTTTTCTCTAATTTTCACACATGAAGCAACAGGGCACAAGTAGGTTTTAAGTTGTTAAATGCAATAAGCAACACAGAATAGATACATTGGCCTATTTTTCAGAATCCAAATACAAAAAAACCATGTGAAACTGTATACCTAATTTACGTAATAGTATAGTTGTTAAAATTAGAGAGACATACTTTTTGCATATCATACTATAGATTGTTAGGTTACTGTACTGTTAGCATCTTGTGTAGATGCGCCCCTCAATAATCAAACAGTAGTGATTTTTTTCCAACTGTTAGGAGTGTATTTTTAGTGAATCTCTTGATATTTCTGAGAACGTACACAGAATTACACTTTCCTCTCAAGAGCCTGATATCTGAAAGACTCTGATAATGTTTTTTAAAACAGTTACAACCTGTTCTGGAATACTGGAGCCTCAATTCTTCAGTCTTTGAGGCCATCTTAGATTGGGTTATCTTGATTGTTTCCTGCTGTTATCACTGGTTCTGTTCTCAGACCCCAAAACCTTGGAGCTCCTTGTCAATATTTTTGCAAAGAATGGGGATCCAAGAGTGAGAAACCAAGTACCCTGTCCTTCAGGTACCTGAGATGCTGCAGAAGGACAAAATGTAGAAGTCTGACATGACTTTACTGGATCCTCAGTGACTTTGGCGTTTTTTTAGATTTGACAAAACTAATAAGTGTGCACTCCATAGATACTTTCTGTGATCCCAGACTGACTCCCTTAAGACCCTGTGCTCTATAACCATTTTTATCTCATTTGAAGAAAGCTGCTTTTTAAAGGAAATGTTTCACAAGAAGAAACTTTTTGACCAGGAGTAGAAAGATTTCTATCTCTTTTCCCTTTTGTATTTGGAAGGTTTTTATAAGCTGGCATAGTATCAGTAGCAATGCTGCCCTATCTTGCTTGTTTCTCAGTGTTTAAGTTTTTCTTTTGAATTATACCATAATTGTTCCTTAAGATGATACCCTCATCCAGAAGGTTAGATCTTTAAAATGCATTCTTCTTTCCTTTAAGATACCTTTCCTTCTTTTAGTGATTTGACAAGGATGAAGACGTTTTCTTGCCTTCTCTCCTCAGTTTTTCTTAGAAAGTTGGATTTTTTGTTTTCTCTGGATCCTATTGGCCAAATTCTGCCTACGTGACCCCATTTTTCTTCGAAATTTGACACCAACCAGCCAAGGGTGTGCATTTCTTAGATGTTAAGTACCTTCTAAAGCTGTCTTTTCTATTCCCAGAACTTTAGACTATCAACATAACTCTGAGATTGGCCCTGCACCCCCTGGAAATGCCAGCCACTAAATCAGAAGTGCTGGCAGAAATGCACTTCCAGTTTTGCCACTGGTGATTTGAGCCTTGGTGATTGGCCACTGGGGGACACCCTCCCCACTCCCAGTCAGTGATCTGGTGCTCCCCCAGACTTGGGAGGCACCACTCACCCATGACTGACAACAGGACAAACAGAATGTGTACGAGGCTGTATTCTTACATCATCCAGGTGTGACAGCGTGAAGCTTACTTGAAGCTTTTTGGATGCCATTAGACTAGAGAAATTTTAGCTTGATGGTAATGTGGTCTGAAGAATTAATTCCAAGCTGGGCAAGATAGCAGCATGGTTTTTTTTTCCTTACTACTTTACAAGATTATTGGTTAGGACCCTCAGGATTCCTTCTCTGGTTGCAGCAGGGTCATGCTAGTAAAGTATCCTTGCCTCCTAGGGATACTGTTTCATGCAGCTACTTTCTGTTCCTTAATCTACAGTTGCAGTATGAGAGAAAGAAGTGATACATAAGGAAACCATTTATCAATAAATCTGTTTGCCATGGACTCTTCTTCTCCACCCCACATTTCACTGTCTTCCTTTCTTGGTGATTTGGTACTGTCTTCTGTGCTGCTTTCTTTCTCTGTGGCTCTGGAAGTTTATGTGACTTATGTGGGAGTTCAGAAGTAATCTTTGCAACAGAAGTCTATATCAGATATCATAATGCCCTTCAATCTACTATTGTAGAATGAAAGAAGAAGAGACTACAAGTAGGAGATTTACTGGTAAGATACTTCAGGTGTTTTTTGGTTCCTTTATCAAAATAGATTTTAAATTATTTATTTCTTACATGGAAGTATAAACAGTCAAGCCTTGTGCAATATCACCCTGACTTTAGTGTAAAAAATGCAATACATAAGTCATCCTTCTGCACCTCCTGGAGATAGACCAGCAAGGACAATTTTTATTATTTTTTCCCTACATTTTTATGTCTTCTGCTAATTTTTGTTTGTAAGTCTTCAAAAGACAGACAATTAATTTCTAAGCCTGAAACTACATTTTCAATTCTTATTTTACAGAGTTCACTATACTATACTCACATTTTCAATATTTTAGGAGAAGAGAAAAGGAGAGAAATATTGAAATGAAAAGGCATGCAGAATGAACCCATACTGTCCCACCCAAGTGCATACACATTCCTATTCTGTTTACTGAAAACTGGAAGGCAGTGTCTTGAGTGGGTAGGTTGGAAGAGTGTTAGAGTTATGTCAAACTCTCAGAGATTTATATCACAGTCTCAAATCCTGAGGGTGTATGAACATAATATTTAGAAAAGGAAAGGGCTATATATCCAAAAACCCTATAACTTTGTGGACTAATATCGGATGGAAATCTTTTATTTCTTTATATATTTATTTTTTGGCTTTTTAAACTACTGAAGGAGGACTTACTTTTTTCTGAAAACTACCTGGTTTGATAGAGCAGAGGGAGTAGGCTGGACACATCTCATAAAACACAATTTATTTTCTCGTTAGTACATTTAGTGCTTAGAGCAATCTTTGAGTAGAAGAGTAAGGGTGAAATCCTAACACCTTTGAGGATATGAGGAAATAACTGAGAATGTGAAAACTCACTAGGGTGGTCCTGATTTTAGTTTTTGTACTTTGAATAGACATCATTTTATTCACCCATGCTGCATTTTTTTTCTCTCTCTCACTTTTTTGGTTGTTTTATTATTCATAATTTCCATATCCTTTAATTTATGCCAGCATTTGGGGAATATGCCAGACAGATTCCCGGCATGTTTGTCAATCCTTTTCAAGGTATATTTCTAAATCTAACATGCAACATTATTAAAATGCACATCAGGCATTGTGCAGTACTGGGGAAAAATCAGCATACAAGAGCCAGCAGCCATAAAGAGGTCACTCTTCAATGATAGGTAGATGATTAAACAAAAACAGTAACCAACAAGAGAACATTTGAATGAAAAACATTTTGAACATAAATATTTTAAAGACATCTAAAAAAACAACTTAGTTCTTGATCAGACACAAAAGAAAATAAATATTAGTGTCTACAATGTGAAAATTTGTTTGACATCAATTTAAAATTAAAGTAACAAGGGGAAACATGCTGTGATCTGACTTGGTTGAATAAAACTACTGTTGAATTAAAAAGGAATCCTTTAAATCCTGGAAATTTCACTTCTTGTTAATAATACTGAGTTCCCACAAGTTGCTAGATTTGCTAGTTTATATGCATTAACCAATGACTTTGCTGGTTCAAAAACCCTCAATAATTGATTCTTAGAACATAATTGGAAAGGACTGGTCCAGTTCACAGGTAGAAGAGCTTAACCATAAAATTAAACTTAGACATCATTAAACTTGATCATAACAGCCCTTGGGCATATACAGTGCTCTTGGCTTTAAACTCTTTGGAGTATGAACTGTTTTAACATCTATGTTTTATATATTATCGTTATCTTGTTTTATGAACCTAAGTACTGGTTTCTAGCACTGACTTGTTCCCTTTAAGTTAAGTGCAGTTTTACCAATCACTACTTTGAGTTGAAGGATCAACAGGTTAAGTGCATCAATACGATATGATTTAAAGGGGTCTGACTTGCAAACTGATTCTGAAAACCCTACTTATTCATTTGAAAAATAGTATAAAATACATTTTCTTATAACCTGTTTATTTTTTTTTTTCTTGTTAAATATATATTTTAGCACAATGCCCAGCAAATGAAAACCGTATGGAATCATCAGGAGTGATCCTCAGTCCAGGTTACCCAGGCAACTACCCTAATTCTCAGACCTGCTCTTGGACTATTAAAATTGAACCAGGATATAACATCTCTATCTTTGTAGAAATGTTTCAGAGTGAAAAACAGTTTGATGAGCTGGAAATATTTGATGGTAAGAAGTTAACTATCTGACCATGAACAACAAATGAAGACATGACACAAATTTGATTTCCAAAGTATTGGTGCCATCAAATAATGATGTGTTTGGAATCATCAGAGTGGGTCCAGTATTTTCATTATTCTGCTTGAAGTCTAAACTCTGGTGGCCAATGTTCTTTTGGATAACAGAATTCTTGAAAGAGCATCTGATCAATTTTTTAGTTACTAGGAAGAAATTTCTTGTAAGAGTCCTAAAAAATACTTTCCTGGGGCTGCACATGAGTTTCAGCAAGCAGAAATTACCCTTCCCCCATGCTTCTTATTTTGAATAGTACTGTTTCTAGGAAGGAAATTCTTTTGGGTTGAAATACCATCTCTTAAACTCATAGAAATATTTGGTATTGAAGGAATCTCTAATCCACTCCCTCCATTTGAATGAGTGTTATATTTAATCTTGCACATATCTAGTAAATATGATTTCACTTGTTCCATTCACAGTGTGTTCTTAAACTACATGGTGGTTTGAACCTGGTGGTACAAAAATTTAGTTATCTATCTAAACACAAATAATTAATATAGAAATGAGCCAAACGTAATGTTCAAAATCTCACTGCCGTCTGACAACCTCTCAGATTAGTTTATTTCATTAACTGTTCTTAAACTATTTTTCCACTATGTTTTTAGCTTACTATTACTTGTCCTTTTGTCATTGACTAATGAGAATAATTCATCCCTAACCATTTTGTAACACACTTTTATGTTATCATGTCTCCCCTCATTAACCAAGAAGATATAACAGACTGTGTAGTAAAGCTGATTAATGTACACTTTGGGTGTGTTTTCATCATGTTACCATGACACCAAGAAGGATAGTAGTCACTGCCACATGTGCTGAAGTCTTATTACAAACAGTTTGCTAATCAACAGAAATTGTAATATCTAAATTCATTGTAAAATATGCTTTAGTAATTTACACCCCTGTATTAAAAAAAAAATAAAATCCTGAATTCTTTGAAATGTCTAGTTTCCCTATAGCATATTCAGTTCATTAGCTGTTTCCTCCTTTTCAGTCTCTTTTTACAGGTCAAAGAAATAATTAGTGTGGGGAAGTTAAGATTAGCCCTCACTCTGCACTATTCTGTGTCCAGGCTCAATACAGTTTCCCTCAAGCTTCTCCAAATTAAACCCTTTAGTACTCCTACTACTCTCTCATTGCAGTGTAGAATAGCGACTTTTATTTGACTTTTCTCATCTCATATTACATTTTACTTTTCACTTTACCTATTTTTAAAGGTTCTTCTGGGCAAAGTCCTTTGCTGGTTGCTTTAAGTGGAAATCATACAGGGCAACTGAACTTCACAAGCAAAACAAATCAGCTGTATCTCCGCTGGTCAACTGACCATGCAACCAATAAGAAGGGTTTTAAAATACGTTACTCAGGTTAGTAACTCACTTATATATATTCAATTGTGCTTTACATTTATGTATCATAGTCAGCAACAAATTAAGACCTGTATTGTAATGACTGCTTCTTTGAAAACTGTAGTAAATATTACTATGTAGGACTTTCATCTGAGGATTCCAAATTAGTAATTATTCTAATTTTGTAGATGGAGAAAGCAAGAAAAGAAAAATCCTAGTCTCCTAGTTTCTGGCTATGCTGCATTTAAAACCTCACTGGAAATTAAAAGATTCTGATTCACAATGATGTGAGATACTTGGACTATTAAGTTATAACATTAGCAGCATTAACAGTTGAATAAATTCTCAGCAGTACTGTGCTTTGATTAAAATATATTGCAGCATGGCAGGGTGAGGAGAAAGACTTCAGCTTCAGTAAGTGTTTTATTGTCAGGTCACCTTTGAGATGAACCATCAGATTTGAAATTAGTAGTAGATGTGTGGTCTTGCTGTTTTCCTTTACAGAATTTTGGTTATATAAATATCTAACCTGTAGGGCAAATCCTTTGTTGAGTGCCTGTCCAGGCTGTGCCCTGAGAAGATAAGTGGTGATGTTAGGAGAGAAATAATTTTTACGCCCTGGAAAGTCTGTATGATTACTGAACTATATCCGCCAGTTCCTATGAAAGGCTGCCAGAAAGAATCAGGAGAACAACTTTTCTTCCTTGCTTCAGAGGGCTCGATGTAAAACAGTGGCTTCAAATTGGAGTAAAATAGATTTAAATTAGATCTCAAGAAAAACTTCATACTTTAGTATTACAGACACAGTATTCCTTCTGCCAGTAGTGGCACCCTGACTGTAAAAGCAGTATTTTTCTCTATATGAACCTATGTACCTTATTCCTGTTTGTGGTAAACATATTTTTACACAAACATGCATGTGCTTGCTCTCTCCTGTAGAAGCTTACCATTGGGATCACTTATTAGCCTACAAATGAGTCTGTTATTGTTTCTGCTGTATTTAGACTTTGGGTGACTATTAAAAGAGTTAAGGATTTGGTCTTGTGTGATTTTTAATGGCTGACAAAAATCACTTTAATATTTTCACTACAGAAGAAACTACTATAATGAGGGCCAACTTATTTGGGTGTGCAGAGAGGTAGTTTCAATGAGCTCTTCTGCATTGTGTCACTAATGGCATCCTCTAACCCCACAGAGAGCCCCTCCCTCTGTTGAAAGGAAAGGGGAAGCCTGAAATCAAAGCATGTTTGCAGGTTTTATTTGAAACTTTATTTGGAAATAAAGGTTTTTCCCTAAGGAATGTGAGTGCAGGGACAGCTTTTGCACAAAGCGATTGTTTCCCCATCTCAGAAGCAGTAGGAGCAAGGTGTTCTGCAAAAAGTGATGAGATTTCCTATCTGTTTTTTTAAAGACAGTGACTTGTAACCCTCTCGAGGGGGTTGCTACAAGAAAGAGGGCCCTGTACCCTGATGGATGGGTTAGAGTCGTACAAGCAGATAGAGGGGGAGCCTGTTAACTAGTGCAATGGGGCAGAAGAAGGTAGGGATGAACTTGAGTAGAGTGCTTGCTTATTTTAGAAGGAGCAAGGGAACAATGTTGGGTTGGGATCATGGGAGTCCTTTAGGATCTTTTAGGAAATATTTCTTTATTAGGGAATGCTATAGAGCTTCAAGTTGTTAAGCTGTTTCCTTTTATTTGAGAAATGATACATTATTTGAGGTATCGTTGAATGTGCACAATATTAGTTTTTGGATTGAGAATGTTGATTACCTAGTTGCCTGTCTGAACTCTACCATTTGCGACATTTATTATGGGCACAAGCCACCACTTAGCACTAGAATTTGGGAACTAGAGAGAGACATCTAATCCTGATGACCATTTTTTTGGAACAGACAATTGTTATATCTCCTTTTTCACTAGCATCCAGCTCAGAAGCCTGCATTTCTCCTTATTTCTGTATGTTTTATATGAGTTGTAATGAAGGCAATCAGCATGAATGAGGACTAACAGGGAAAAATACAGTATCTCCAAAAGTCTATTGATGCCAAGGCAGCTGTGACTGAGCCAGCAAACTTCCTCATAATGGTGGACTTATAGCAACGAATTACTGCTTGCCCACCTCCCTTCCCTACTCCTCAAACCATGTCCATTCATGAAGTTTGGTAAATTGTAGCTTGGTCAAAATTGGATTTAGTTTGCAGAAGCACATTCTCTGTTCTAAAACAGTGACAGATGCTTTAACAGAATGTTTAAATGTTTCCTTCAGTAAATAAACTATTCATTTATTTCCATTCATCAGCAGTTAAAGTAAAAAATTACTTGAAAGTTATCTAGGCAGACAAGGTTCTCTGGGTATATGTGATGGCTTTTATTAGACCAACTAAATAGTTGGAAAAAAGTGTTCTTTGCAAACTTTCCAGCACAAACAGCATTCTTCAGGTACAGGGAAAGCCCGCTGTTGTTCTATGTTCTTCTGGGTAGAATAGAAGCCAATATGCAAAATGCAGGTTTGTGAAAAGTTGTTGCTTGGTTTCTCCTACATAATTTCCATCAGGGCATGTAGTGCACTGGATAAGATATATTACATTTCTGGAAGTGCAGGTGTAAAATCCAGGTATGCTGATGGCTCTGTTATAGGGTGTAGTAATTTCGGGAATGGTGGAGATATGTTGGCAGGTTTTATATTTCTTGTCCTGGCATGGAGTGGATCCATTTGATTTGTTTTGGGCCACAGGTCATTTGCATCTGGTGATGAGATTGGTGAACTCTGGTGCTTGTTTAAATGCTAGGATTGGTGGTTCTGGGAAGATCTCTTTAAGAATTGGGTCTTCTTCTAGTATGGATAGCAATTGTTTGATGATTTTCTGTATACGTTCCAGGGAGGAAAGGTATGTCATAACTAATGGTGTGCAATTTCTGGTGATTTTCTTTTTGTACTGCAGCAATTTGTCATGTGGTATCTGGGTAACTCTTTCAAAAGTACAATCTTGAGTTGTGGCCTTAATCTACAATTTTTCCCTTGACTGACAGACATAAAAAGAACATTTGTTTTTTAAACTCGAATGAACTTTTGTTAGCTGTGCTGTGTGGGAGTACAACTCAAAGGGGAACCATCAATTGAACATTCACAGTTCTGTTTAGGATTCTGTAAATACCACTGTTAAAATATTACCCAAGATGTTTGTGGAACAAAAAAACCAAAAATATTTGGTCAAGATTGTTTAGTCTATTAATTTGACAAAGATTCTATTATTTTTACTTTTTTATGGGCAGTCAGTTTCTCCCTGTTGCTTTTGTGAGTCTTTCACACAGCAGTAAAGAAAAGAAAAATATGTTTAACAAAAAAGAAAATATGATTGTAAATCCAATAAAGTTGTCAGGGAGAATCAGGGACAGGTATGGTGCCCCAAAGTAGTTTTAATCCTTTTTATCATATGCATAACTCCAGCCTCTCACCACAGCTTGATTCCACCCAAACAATGAGACAGTAAACAAATAAGGAAAATATGTAAGTGGGAAACTGCACTTCCTGGGCCCAGATTATGGAATTTATCTCTCGAAGACATAAAAATGAGCATGCAATCACTTTCAAAATTAAATGCAAAACCTATTTCTTTGACTGTGTTTTCTCTCAATAATTTACACTCACACAAGCACTTATGTAACCCCAGCCATGGTGCTACCCATAGCCACATCCAGGTTCAGGGTCCTTGGGTGTCAAATAGCTTTGGTCGACCTCCCAGGCCCTTAGGCTGGGGCCACCTCTCCATGGAGTGCTTTCTTGTGGTTTCCCCATGTACTGGAGTACATACAGTCAACTATTTACACAGTTTATTATTTACAAAGCAGTCTATGAATAAAGTTAATGGCAGAACAGGATATCAATACTCTAATTGTTGAAGGCAGGTATCAATGAACTAAAACACTTTATATATATTGAATCAAACACACCCTTAGTACAACTCCCCAGCTAAAACCTTGAGACTCCAGTGAGCAAGAGCACACAGGGTTAACAAGATAATGGCTCTCCTTCACACTGGCAACACAATAACCATGGCTGGTGCTGCTGCTTCAGAAAGTCCAGTTCTCTGCTAGAGACCACATGGGGAAGGGAAGCTCTCCTCTACTCCAGCTGTCTGTGGTATTTGCAAAGAAACACACACTGTCCCCTCTCCCCAAAAGCACCTTTCTCCAGTTCCCAGACATGGCCCCTTGTGCTGACAACAGAAACAACCCTAGGTTTATCACCCACCTGGCCCCAGGCTGGTTCTCAGTTAACTCTCCCAGATCAACACCCTGCCCTCCTAGACAAGTCTACTTTACCACTCTTTTCCCTTCATACAGGTCCCCCTGCCTCACAGAGGGAAAAAGGATACCAGGTTATCTTCTCCCTGTCATTAAGGGTATGTTCACTTTACAGGCAGGCTGCAAGGTGGTTCCTCCCTGAGCTCTGTGGTCCCAGAGCTCCGTCCCATCTCTGAACCTGGCTGAGTCCCTTGGGCTGGGTTCCCTCCCCTCTCCTGCCTCAGGAGCCCATCAAAAACATGCATGTGCTCTTGCAAACAACAACTTTCTGCAAACTTTCCCTCTCTGCCTTTACAGGGATCCTGAGCCCTTCTGCAAATCCAGCAGCAGCTGTTACGCTTAAATAAGCAAGCCAACATAAACCACCCATCAAATAATTAAGCTGTTTTGCTTGCATGTTGAAGGGGAGAGAGTCTGCTTTTTAATGTTTAGGAGGCACTCTGTTAATTGGGGGCCTATATAAGTATATAATGTTACATACTATATAATTTAATGGGGGCCTATATTAGTACTTAGGCACAGATCTTATTGTGCCTAGTAGACATCTAAGTCTATTTGACTGCTTGGCTGCTGTGCATCTCTTACCAAAAAATCAATCCTTTTCTGCCTGGAGAGGTGGATAGCTCTCAAATCCCCTCAATAAGAGACTTTATGCTCTTCCAGAGTATGTAAACATTGACCAGGGAGTTTCCTACAGGAAGCCAAGATGAAGTGCTAGGCACAGGGAGAAGGGGCAACTCAGCTGCATGGAATAAGGAGAAAAAAAAACAATGACAGTTGGACATGTTGCAGCAAGGGAGGTTTAGGTTGGATATTAGGGAAAACTTTCTCACTAGGACAGTGAGTGGTGAAACACTGAAGCAGTTTACCTAGAGAGGTGGTGGCATCTCCATCCCTTGAGGTGTTCATGGCCTGACTCAACAAAATCCTGGCTGGAACGATCCAGTTGGGGAGAGTCCAGATTTGAGCAGGGGGTTGGACTAGATGACCCTCTGAGGTCCCTTCCAACCCAAATTTTCCATGATTTCTGTGATTCTATGGACCCTGATGTTGTAGCCCAGTGAAGAAGGCATTCCCTAGAAAGGAGAGATGGGGCCTTTTGTTATGCTTCCTATTTACAATGCATTCATCAGTCACTAGATTAAATGCATAAACAAGACTGTGAACAGAGGCCCAAATTAGGAGTCCTTCTTTTCTTCCTAGAAAATGCACTCTGCTGTGAGCAGGAGAATCAGGTTCCATGTATGCTTTCTTCCGGCCCTGTAAATTGTGTAGTCTTTTTGACCCAGTAGCTCAGTTTCAATGGCAGGCATAGGAGTCTTTGCAGGGGAGACGGGCAGCACTGCTTATTGAATTCAACCCCCTCCTCAAAATACGTGTCTCTCAAACAAAACCACCAACAAGCAACACCGCCAACAATTCCCTCCAAAAAAGAAATCTGGCATGACCCAAGAAAATAAACCAACCAAAATATTAAATCTTGTCCTAATATACCACCTGGCAATAAAGTAGTACTGAAAGGGAAGGAGGGTAAAATTGTTCTGATGTGCCCCCTAGAGCATTTTACTAGTTATAGCATAATAAGCCATTGTGTATTAAATCACATCCATGTTACTTAATTAGTTGTTGTAAACTAAGTAAGAAAAATTAAACCAGGAGCATTTTTAGGGGGTAAACGCTGATTACGTGGACAAGTACCCATGCAGCTTAAAGTAAGACACCTAACTCTAGACTGGTACAGTAAACACTTGTTGGCATCCTTAGATGCCAGAAGGCCACCTAAATACCACTTAAATGTCTTAGAGGTGGAATAGGATCTAAGATTTAGCTAGCTAGTTTAAAAACTGACAATATGCCTTTTGCATTTCTGTAGTTGTTTTCAGCTAATACATTTTTATTAGTTTGGCAGAGAGGTAGAAGACATGGTTTAGTAGTGCCTTGTTTTTGGTCATGTCACCAAACTTGTATTTGGTTGCTGATAGAACAGAAATGGGATAACAAAAATTAAGCATCAAAGCTGATCAGAAGCTATGGTTTCAACCCTATTCTATTATACAAGTGTTTCAAGTCTTCAAATCTACTCTCTTACTTCATTTAGTTGAATTATTTATGTTCTCTTGTTTTTTTAACCTTCTCTGGATCCAGGAAACAGCCATTATTCCCTTTCCCTTTCATTTTAAAAACAATAATCAGCTATTGATTGCTTTGCCTTCATATCATAAAATTTTCATATCTCTCGTAGCATGTCAGAGGTGCAATGTGAATCATGTGAGCAGGTTTTCTGAACTGTTTATAATTGTCTGTCTTAAATTTACGGATTTCAATGTGTGGTGACTTGCTTTACAGAGTACAGCAAGAAAAATCACTGAGCAGGGATTTGCACAGGAGTTTGGAGTATAGCATAAATGGAATAATTTATAAATGTTGCATCATAAGTAAGAAAATCTATAGCATAAATGACATGTTATTCAGCTAGATATCTTATTTTTTGAAAACCTTAATATTCACAGTGATACTCCTAAAAAGGGTATAGGTCTTTGAAATTATATTCTGCTCTTTTTAGTCTGTTTACATGGTAAATGTGAAATGATTTGGCAAGCCTAAAAGGTAGTAATAGAGCCTTAATGTTGTATTCTTTTTCTTCCCTTTATAATTTCTGAATTCTGTTTTTCTATTAGAAGCTTTGGATTTCCCACTTGCTAGGCAGTATCTGACCTGTTAGGAAAGCTGTTTTAAATTCCCCCTGCCCCACCACAAATTCCCCATGTGCCTTGGACAAAGTGGGTGCCATGGTATAGAGGAATACTCCCCTACTCCACATGCTTTACCTCCTGAAACTGATGCAGTCACTGATGAGAAAGGGATTATTGGTGCCTACACAGCACTGCACTAAACTGGCTACACTATTTCCCTTTTGGAACATAATAGCTAGGGACAGAAATTACACATAAACTGGTATAAATGATTGGAAACCAATCTAAATCTTTAACAGAAGAGAAGTTCAGTATACATTGATCAGTTTCAAAAAGGTGGAATTAAGTTTAAGTTAGACCTGGATGAATGTAATAGCAGATTGAATCACTTTAGGTTAGACTTGTCTATTGAACTTCTGTTCTGGATCCCCCTCAACAAAAGTTAGGTCCCAGTCCCTCAGCATCTCCGGATGCATTGTGTGCCCTGCTAACCTTCCTCACAGGTGGGCAGGGTCACCTCCACTCCAGCTCCTCTGCTCCAGCCAAACCAGGCAGCCCTGCCCTTGTAACTGTCACAAAACTGAAGCAGCAAAGCCTCTGCTCCCCAGTCTGACCAGCAACACATGGGGGACAGGCAAGGTGGGGAATGGACCCCCACCCCAGCCCTTGCTCCTTCCCAGCTGGGGCCTGTACAGCAGGAGGAGAAAGCCCCCAAGGTGGGGGATTTCCACAGGGTAGCCTGGCTGTACAGGACAGCAAACACCACAACCCTGCACCTTCACCACCCCTTCACCTTTCAGACACCCCATCGCCCCAGTGAGGGTGTGCACAGTGGGTGCAGGGGAGGTCCCCAAGAACCTTTCCCTTGTATAGCCTGGCTCTGCTGGGCAACAAATGCCCCAACCGACCCCCTCACCAGCCCCCTGACTCTCAGGTATGAGTTTTGGGGGGCTGGTAAAGGAGTGGGACTGGTACATTTGCTGCCCAGCAAAGCTGTGCTATGCAGGGTGAAAGCTCCCCCTCCTTAGGGGTTCCCCCCAACCTGCTGTGCAGACCCTGATGGGGAGATGTGGGGGGGGTTGTTTCCCACCCCTGTCAACCCCCACACAGCTGAGAGGTAGAGGGCTAGCGAGGGGTTGGGGCTGGGTCATTCACTGCTTGGCAGAACTGGGAAACATGCAGGAGCACCTCGTGCCTTCTGGCCCTGGCCAGTGCAGGCATCTGCCTACCTTGGCCACTGAAAGCCTGAACATGAGTTCTGTTCATTAATGGTCCAATTTTTGCAGTTTAGGGAAACATGTGTAGATAGGGTCAACTCCACCTTGAGATCCTTGACTGTCTGGATTTAGCCAGTGTGTGTGGATCAAGCACCACATGTTTAGCATGACAGTCCCTAGTGTAATACTGAGGCAGCATGGACCTGCCTTCAATCTTCCTGCAGGGCTGGCCGATCCTATCCGGTGGGCCGCACAGCCAAGCGGCTGTGCCTCGTTCATCCCCCGTCACTGTGCCATGTTTAAAGGGCTTGATGGAGGCAAGGAGTCCCTTCCTGGCTGAGGGGGCAGGAATTCGCAGTTCTGCTCCCACTCTTGCTCTGGCCCTGGCCCTGGCCCCAGGAGGGGAACCCAGGCATCCCCAACACATGGTGCCCCCACCCCATGCCCCCTGCAGCGCAGCTCATGTGTGTGCAGCCTGGATCTGACTACTTTATTTCAGTAAGTTTATACCACAATTAACAGCAATTTTGATTTTTTGATGGATCAGGGGGCCCCAAAACTATAGCTTGCAGAGGGCCCCGAAAAATGTGGACTGGCCCTGTCTAATTGTGTCTAATTTCCCCTAAAAAATGGGGATATCATCACTTCCCTACCTCACAGTGGTGTTTTAAGGATAAATATATTAAGTAAAGGCCACAGGTTTTTCATTTAAAATTTGGAACGTGGAATGAGGGAGAAATCATTAATTATAAGCCTCTTCTTGGCATCAGTTATTGAACTAATATTAAATTGATCAAGAAACTATTAGAAAAATGTCTCCCTTTTTGGAGTAAGTTCTTTGTGCAAGTTATTGTCATATTATTAACTCAAGACTGAGATTTACAATGCTCCTGAGGGATTTGGACATCTATTTTCAATTCATTTTAATTGAGAATTGGACATCCAGAACCCTTTAGACAGCATTGAAAATCTCAGCCTAAATGTTTTACATGCTTCAGCAAGAGAGTGTGTTTTGTCTATATCCGTGCCACTGCTGTTCACATGTCAGTTGACTGGTGATGTGTCTTATAGCATTGAAGTGTGATTTAGCCAAGCAGTCATTACCCTGGTTGGTCTTTAGTCACAAATGACAAGTGGACATTGTAAATATAAGTGAGCTGAAGCTGTACAAATGTGTTACCTTGCAGAAAACATTAATACTTAGGAGGCCTTGAAAGAACTTTGCTGATATGTCACTCAGAAAAGTGAATTAAATCTATAAATGTAACACGAGTTCAGGTCAGTGGAATGGCCAGCTTGAACTTCATCATTTTTATGGATTGAAGGTTTGTTGTTCCTAGAGAAAAACACTCCTGAACCACTGCACCAATATCTGCTAATCCTCTCATAGTAACAGTGCAGATCCTCTCTCAGAAGCCAGATGGGAAGGGGGAAAGTATTTTATCTCTGTAGTCCTAGGTGCGAGTCTGGAATACATTATAAGCATTCTATCCAGATTCCCAATGAAGCAGAGAAATAGAGCTCAGTTGATAGTGGTTGCAGCTTTTGAGACTGACATTTCCTATGGCATTTGTTCACCCTCAGACTTTTAGACATTTTTAAATTATGGCTTTGTACTTGCTTCCTTACTTGCTGTATTAGTGCCTGATCTTGCAAGATATTGAATATTCTGCACTCCAACCATTATGGGAGTTGGTTTAATAGAAACATCTCATTTTTAATGATTACTAAGTTGTATAGAGTAGATACAGGGGTATAACCTGGATGTTGGCAGTTGGGTCTTGGCACTAGAGAATCATAAACTAGGGGATTAGGATTAGACAAATTCAGAAGCCAGAGATAGAATCTAGACTGGGACCAGAAGCCACCTGGGCAACAGCTAAAAGCTGAGGTCTATATTGGAGCCCTGAGCCAGCAGCCAGGAAATAGGAAGCTTAGCTAGAGTCATGAGCAAGGAGCTGGTGGTGGTCAATACCAGGAACTAGAATCGAAGAACGAAACATGGATAAAAGATGGGGCTAAGGAGACAAAATACTAGACTAGAAATTAGGAACTAGGAGCCAGGAACAGAGATTCTGGCAAGACCTAAGAACCAGAGAGTACTTGAGGGAGGAGCTGCATAAGGCAGTTCTGCAGGTGGCCTTACACTTCGCCTTGGACCTCTGGAGCAACTGGGGTGGAGATTGTGCCTGCCTCTCCCTCACAGGGCACTGGTGCAACCAGTCAGGCTGTTGGTGGGCTCTCCTTCAATCCGAGCTGATGGATGAGTCCCGCATGGCAACAGAGATCATGGAGACTATGAACCACTTGGTGCAGGAGTGGCTCATTGGGCAGGGTGAGCTCACCCGCAGATTCATGGTCACCGACATTGGGGCCAATATGGTCAAGGCGGTCCGTGATGCCAACTTGCAAGATGCTGCGGAACAAACAGGCAGAGCTGAGCATCCTGCAGCAAAAAATCATGCAGGATGTGGAGACTCAGTGGACCTCCACATACCTGATGCTCGAGAGGCTGGTGGAGCTACAGAAGGCCATCCATGACATGGCATTGGTCGGGGAGATTGGGGTCTGCGGCCCCCTTAACAGAGTTGGTACCATCTCCCAGTGGGATACCATCTCCCAGATCCTGGTGGTCCTCAAGCCCTTCCTTGAGGCCACTGAGACCCTCAGCACTGGCAATGCCCTCCTTAGCCAGGTGATCCCTGTAGTGAGGGAACTTCAGAGCCAAATGGAGAATTTTCAGGGGATTAATGTTCCTGGCTGGGGCAAGCCGCTGCCACCAGGCACTGCATCCCTGCTGTTTTAATTCCAAAGCTGCCAAAAAATGTCAAAGTTATAGAGTTTCATGCTTCCCCATTATAACCTATGGGTGAAACGTCAAAACAGCATCAAAACAGTGAAGCAGTTTTGACAAAACAAAACAGAACAGTGCTTCAAAATGAAACTCAAAACGAAACACTGTCCTGTTGAAACAGTCGAAATGAAACAGTGCTGTTTTGCGCAGCCCTAGTAGTTAGGTCGCTGGCTGCCAAGCCCGCTTAGTAATCAGGGTCAGCAGGGCCACACGTGCAAAAAACACTCATCAAAAGTTATAGCTTTCAGCAAGCTTTATCACAATGTCAGAATAACTATATTGTTATTCTAAGGCATTTAGCTGCAAAACATGACCCAGCTTGTCCTCCTTCCCACAAAATGTGGAATAAATTAATAAATATTTGAACTGTTTAATTAAAAAGCATATATTTAATACTACAGTACATCTACAGTTCTCACCTAGGCAAAACTCACATTGACTTCAGATGGACTTTAGGCTGGATGAGGACTGCAGGCTCAGGCTCAAAACATTTTTATGGCTGCCATACCATCTTTTTCTATGAATTTTGTGCCACTCTGTTTGGTGTGCCTGAGGTAACAGGGCATCTAAAAGGGTCTGTAGAAGTGGGTCTGAGCTGGGCCTGCAACCAAGTGGGTATTTTAATGTTAAGTCAGAAATACAGAAAAGTTATATTAAAATAATATTGCTAAAATTGTAAAGTCACTCAATCAAAAGGTAGAAAATGCCAGATTTAAGTGTGGGTAGTTGACCTGACACCCTGCAATCAAATTTGCAGAAGTGGCAAGCACTCCTAGTTGCATCTAAAGTCAATGGCAGCTACACCTTAAAAATTAAAATGCTGTGTAATATAATGCATTCAGAAAAATAAAGTCTTGGGTGTCTCAGCAAAATTAGCAGACACTTTTGGCCTTAATCTCTATTCGTTGTGCATGATAACACCTCCTTACCTTTTAATGATGTTGTGAAGATAAGTAATATTTGGGAACCAGACAGATGCCACAAAAAATCTTACAAGCAAATTAATTATTCAATCTTTATAGCAGTGTTTGAAGAGTGCAGTAAATAAGGTTTAGGGGCATACCTTAAACAATTAGGATAATACAAAATATTGAATACCTGCTCATTACGGGAACACCACCCCTCTAGTGCAATAGATGAATCAGGCATCCAGTGGAATATGTACTATGCAATCATGTAGTTAAATTACATACACATGGAAAAGTGAGACAAATGAAAGTTGTACCAGCATATTTAATTCTTGTATTTCCTTACTTCCGAGGGTTTGATAATGCAAAGTTAAATATTTCTTTAACATGGTTATTTTGCATTTAATTTCTTAGGTTTTCAATTTTTTTAATGAAAGCTGATAAAACAAATTCTACCATTTAGAACCAAACTGACACCCACATGGTGCAGGCAGCAAGGCTGGAAAGTTTGATCCACCCCAAAGCCTTCTGCCACATGAAGTCATGGAGTTAATGATGGTAGCAATAGCCTGTCATTTTAAGTATCAATCATACTAGAGCAGGTATGGGACTCTAACATGTCCAGTAGGTTTCACAGATATTTACTGGCCGCAAGGCAATGGGGATACTAGAATTTTGTATTCCATTCTAGACTCTACAAAGAAGTATGTTTTAATAGATGCAGACCCTTGTGTTTGATTCCTGCCATGTTTGGCCTGCTCTCCCATCATCTCCAACCTTACCAGTCCATGTGCAATCTGTTCTTTGTCTTGGTTTTTTGTACTGGTTTGGTTAGGCTAGTCACTAAGTCAGTACAGTTTTCTGTCTAATGGGGCTCTTCTAGTGTCCATTGTTGTTACAGAATCTTTACTGGACCACTCATAGTCTCATTCTCCTCTTTGGGCTTGCTGCCCAATATTAAAATAATATTGCTAAAATTGTCACTCACACGAAAGTCAGAAAATGCCATATTGAAAAGTGGGTATCTGCCTTGATACTCTGCAAACAAATTTGCAGAAATGGCAAGCATTCTTAGTTATATGTGAAATCAATGGCAGCTGTGTTTTAAATATTAAAAAACAGCTACTGTGAAATACTCAGAATAATCAAATCCTAGGTGTCTCAGTAATTATTTGGCTTCCATTCATGCATATACAGTTACTGGAATCCATAACAAAATATGCAAAAGACATTTATTAAATTATTATTTTCAGAAGGCAAAATGGCCAAGTAGGTTAATAATGTATTACCCTTTGACTTCTAGAGACTTACAGTAAGTTCTCTTTTTTTCTTTAGGTCACAGTCTGAAATGAAATTCTCTGTCTAGTTGATTTTTATTCTTCTTATTAAAGCACATCACAGTATGTTGTATTTTGACAATTTTGGCAGTCTCTACTTACTCCAGGTCCAGGACAAGAATAATAAGGGCATTGAAGGTTAAGATTCATAATTAAAAAAAGCATGCATTGTATTTCCTTCTAGATCATGCATTCAGCCAGTATTTTCATAGGCACACAATATCAGGGTTTAGGTTTTGTTTTTTTCCCCAATATTTAAAGTCTCTGAAAGTATAACCATCTACGATCATATGAACATTTTCTTTATATATATAATATCATTGTATGAAGACATTTCTCTAAAGTGTCTAGTTTAAATGTAATGAAATATTAATGTTGATTATTAACCGGAATCCAAAACACCATATATATGATAATTCCAAATTTTTATTTTACTTTACTTGATTTTTTTCCATGTCTTTTGGGAAATGTTTAATTACATGATTCAGACTTTTAAGTACTTGGAAATTCTTAAATAGTAATTAACTAAAGCAAATAATGTAGTGTGCATGATATGTAGCTCAAGTAACCATATCTGATATCTTTCAATGAATCTAATCTATGAGACAGATAACTAAATGTGAGGTATCTGAGTGCTGAAGCAACTATGTATGTCAGCAATATTGCTCAGTTACATCCCTTCTATGATTTATCATCTCAAATCATTCTTAGTGAATGAGATATGAATGGCAGTCCTCCACCTCATGTTATTTCCACATAAGATATGTGTTTTGTAATGAACAGTTCTGACAGTAATTTTAGATATTTCAAAGAATTTTAAATTGCATAAACATGGTTTATTACTGCTATAAGTGGTATTATTATACTTGCATTAAATGCCTTATTGCCTTATTATTGTATTTTTGGGTATATAGCTCCCTATTGCAGCTTAAACTCTGTCTTGAAGAATGGTGGGATTGTAAACAAAACAGGAGGCCCAAATAGAAGTAAAGTGCACTTTTATTGCAAACCTGGATATAGAATGATTGGCCATACTAATGCAACATGTAGACGACGTCAAAATGGCATGTACCAATGGGATTCTCCTGCCCCGATCTGCCAAGGTAAGATATTGTGTTACTGTTGAATCCGTAATTTATCTAAAAAAACCCCACAAAACCCTTTTACAAAATAAGGCCTCGTTACTGTTTACACGTGTGTGTCAGCAGTCACATTGAACCTAATGGGTTTATTCATGCATGATTACCACATGGCTAAGTGTGAGAAGTCCAAGGACTTACAAAATCAAGGGTGTAATGAAGTATTTTTAAATACCAAATGGAAAATAAGTCTTCAATACTTGTTTAAATGCTAAATTCCAGAAAGTTCTCAGCTCAGTGCAATATTTTATTCCAAAAAAAAATAAAATTATTGTTTTCACTTGGAATATTGTGTTCTGACTATTTGTATTATTGTATAATATTTTGTCTAGAACTGATATTTGAATGTAATAATTTTAATTATTTTAAGTATTTTGTTATTTTGATTTCAGGTGTTAGTCATGCTCTCTGATGGATTATTAATATTTATTATGTACTCCTTCAATAATATCCTAAATTTCTTCCAGAGATGTATGAAGACATGGGTCCTGCTGCCAAAACTTAATAAATAAGCAAATGCAGGAGAGGGGAAGAGGAGTTCTTATGTGATTGAATAATGATGTTAAATGCAGTTTTTCTGAGTTACAAGACTTTTGTATGATTTTTTTAATTACTTTTTCGTGTGTTTTTAGTAAATATTGTTAACACCATTGTAGGTGGATTGTAGTGAATGGGGATGGGGTTTATGTTTACAGGCTTTGTGAAGTGTCTTTGAAGGAGAAAGTAGAAGCAATTCAAATGAGATTGGATTAGATATATGGCATGTCCAGGATGCTTACACTACTTGTGAAATTATACAATTACACAAGTTCAGGAGTGTCTCATGTAGACGTGCCCACTATCAGCTAAACATTCCTTCTACACTGAAGATACGCCAGCTCCAGCACATCATTCTGGGCACAGGAACTGAGAAGTACAAGACAGTTTCTCCTGTGCCCTTGGTATATCCCCTTTTGGCACATAGGCATCATGGAGGAGTTAATGCTCTAACTCAAATGCAGAGTGACAAGAAACAGACTTGGGATGTCAAGAGACTAGACTAGAATTTGGAACCTGGCACATTGAAAAGGAATGGGAAAAATACAAGAGAAAGCAGAGGCTGGATGAAAAAAGTAACTGATTGGGAGCCCATAGGGGAAGGGTAATGGAAGTGAGTCAAAAAGCCTGGAAAGATACTGTGACCAAGAGTAGGAAGAAGACTGAAACCAGATGAGATTTCCAAGACAAAGGGTGCTTTGGAGAGGGAAACTGAGATTGGGAGCCAGGATGAAGGGATACCTGGGACTTATATGGGGTGTTTGGACTGGGAGGCTAGGACTGGATATGCAAGAAGATTGAGATTAGATTTTTGGAGATAGTATATGAGTTTGGGATGAGACTAGGAAGAGGAGATGGGTTTAGAAAGAAAAGAGAGACTGGAGCAAAGCTATTCTCCACTGGACAAGGACAGAAGTGGGGGTATCCTTAAATCCTATTTCATTTTATATGCCTAAATGGTGCACCTGTAATTACAGTTTTTGTTAATGTAAGAGTAATGTTGTAGCTTTGATGGTCCAGAAATTATGCATCGGGAAAGGTTTTCTTAGGATGGTATCTTTTATTGGACCGACTGTGTGGTTGAGATAGTTAACAAGCTGTTGAATGCAAGGCCTTCTTCATCAAGTTGCAGTTTTTGACACTTAGGCATAGTTTGAGATACTGGTTTTTTTTGTAGTAAAACCTCCATACACACATACCTGCTAGAAGTAAAACAGTGTCTGGGATCCATGGCTGGGATCCCGGTCAGTTGATGGAGCTCTCAGACAAGGGGACAAGTGCTCCTATGCCTGGTGGTCAGCATTAGCTGGGAGCTCCCAGAGGTGCACATAGCCTCCCAGGCTCAGAGGTGCACATAGCCACCTCCCTCGCCCCAAGTTGGGAGGTATGATCAGCTGATGGGGCTCCCAGCCACAGAGGCCCCTGGACACATGTTTAACTAATGGCATGATAGGAAGCAGCTACGTAGTTATTGCATGTACTTGGGGAATAACTTGTAGCTTATTTCTCTTTTTATCACACCATTTATTGGTTGAACTTCTGGATGGGTGGTCACTTAAGACATGATTAACTGGTTAATCATGCCTTAAGTATAACGTGTAGATGGGGCCATAGCTACAGACACACCATTAAGGCCCATAATGTGAAATAAGAGTTATCCTTCAGTGGCTACATAGACCACAACCCCCTCCGGAAGTGTATGATTTCATTTTTAAGCCATTTTATATCATCTTTAATTATATATATGTATGTGTGTGTGTATGTATGTATATATGTAACAGGAACAAAGTTCTTAAACATATATGTATATGTATACAGAACATGTATAACATAGCTTATTTATGCAGCTCATGAAGTAACAGAGAATCATGAGTCACAACAAATGTAAAATAATAAAAGCTGGAATGAACAATGATGGCAGTAAGTTTCTGAAGCACTTCCATTATAACCTTCATTTATAAATCCACTTTCTTATTTGTTTATAGCTTCCACTTTTGAGGTTTCCTAGGATTTCTCTATACCCTAAGTAAATACTGGTGAAATATTTATAAAATATGTCACCTGTTTTGGTATATGAGGAGAGTTAAATAATATATTTCCCCAGTCCAGAAAATATTCATATGTATTATTATTGTGTGTGTTGATACTTCAAGGGAAAAAAGGTAAAATACATCAGTAAGACAGTTTTATGAGCATTGCATCATAGGAAAGTAGGGCTGGACCTCACAAGGTCATCTAGTGCAACCTCCTCTTCTTGCTTACTTAACTATCCCAAACAAACATCTGTCCAACTTGCTCTTGACAATTTCCAAGCATGGAGATTTTGCAGTTTCTCTAGCTAGCCTGTTGCAGTGCTTGAACACCCTCATAGTCAGAAAGTTCCTTTTAATCTCCAACCTAAATTTTCTTTGCTATAGCCTGAGTTTATTGCTTTGAACACTATCCCCTGTGGCCACAGAGAAGAGTGTATTTCCAGCCTTTCTGAAATCACCCTTCATGTATTTGATGACTGTTATCATATCCCCCGGTTTGCTGTCTTTTTCATCAACAGATATTTGATTGAAATACTACTTCAGTGCTCTTACAAAATTCTTGCTGTTTTGCTGTTTGGTGGAATCAGAATGATTTAAAATATTTTATCCAGCAAAGTGATATTTCATGCAGAATCCCTATGTCACATGTACTTTCACTAAATCCAAGGCAGGATTCTGAATGAATACTGAATAGATTCCTGGCCTGCCTGCTCTGAAAACTGTGGGGCTCCTGGCCCTGAGAAAGTCCAAAAGTGAGCTGTCCTAGAGCCTAGAGGCCTCCTAAAGCTTCTCTGTGAGATTAACATACAGGATTCTCTCACTTTATGAGATAGATATGTTCCTAAAAAAACTGTTCATAACTCAAATTTGCATAAAGGGAACCCACTTTACAAGGTAACAAATAAGGATATGGTCCAAGATCTCGACTGAATCATCAGCAGGTAAGTCTGCTGGGGCCAACGTGGTGCAGGGCTCTTCCCAGTGGGGGGCTGAGCTGGGCTGCGCTTGGGGTGGGCGGTGGCAACCCTGAGAGGGGAGCTATGGGAGGGCTGCAGCCATTCCTAAATTTGCTGTTGCCCCCCTTGTCTCCCTCCCAGCACCACCACTCAAGCAAATCCCGGGACATCTCAAGCAAATCCCGGGATGTCATTCTTTCCTTGGTGAGGCCTTGGTGAGGCCGCAGCTGGAGTACTGCATCCAGTTTTGGGCTCCACAATTCAAAAAGGATGTGGAGAAGCTTAAGAGAGTCCAGAGAAGAGCCATGCACATGATCAGAGGTGAGGAAAACAGACCTTACGACAACAGGCTGAGAGCCATGGGGCTCTTTAGCCTGGAAAAGCA